TCACAAAGGGAACATTAAGCTCATGCCTATCTAAAGGATTATGTCGACAAAATCAGCAACACTAATGAAAACTCATTTTCTCTCAACTCCTTGTTCTCTAAGTGTCACCACATATCCCATGAATCAATTAATCCTAGTAGTAAGGCTTTGGTAAATAGTGTTTGTAATGTTAGTGAGCCATCTTCTTTTGAGGAAGTTGTTGCCAGTCCTTCTTGGTAGGCAGCCATGATTCAAGAGTTTGAAGCTCTTTATGTTAATAACACCCGGAATCTAGTTCCTCTCCTATCTGATAAAAAGGCAATAGGTTGTAGATGGGTCTACAAGATAAAACATAGTCGTGATGGCATAATAGAGAGGTATAAGGCCAGACTTGTTGTGAAAGGCTATACTCAACAGGAAGGTGTGGATTTCACAAAAATATTTTCTCCTATGGTTAAAATGACCACATTGAGAACCTTAATTGCAGTAGCAGTAAAGCGCAGTTGGGCAATGTTCCAGTTGGATGTCAATAATGCTTTTCTCCATGGGGATTTACATGAAGATGTGTATATGCAAATTCCACCAGGTCTCATGGTGGAGGATAAGTCATTGGTCTGCAAGCTGAATAAGTCTTTGTATGGGCTCAAGCAAGCCAGTAGACAATGGTATGAAAAACTAACTGAATCCTTGTGCTCTAAAGGTTTCAGCCACTCATTAAATGACTATTCATTGTTCCACAAACAGCATGGAGATTCAGTGGTTTATATTGTAGTCTATGTAGATGACATCTTGGTTACAGGAACAGACATGAAGGAAATACTACAATTGAAAACTTTTCTTCATGACAAGTTTAAAATAAAGGATCTAGGTACTCTGCACTACTTCTTGGGCCTAGAAGTGTTGTACAAGCCTGATGGTGTGATCATCTCTCAAAGGAAATTTGTTCTGGATCAATTGAAAGACTACAATTGCTTGGATTATACTGCCTTCAGCTCCCCACTTGATCCTAATGAAAAACTTAAAGCCAAGGAGGGCAAGCCTTAGATGATCCAACATTCTATAGGAACCTAATAGGAAAGTTAAACTTTCTTACCAATACTAGACTGGACATAGCTTTTGGGGTTCAACATTTGAGTCAATTCATGCAAGATCCTCGAGAACCTCACTTGAAGGCTGCCTATCATCTATTGAGATATCTCAAAGGGATCCTACTTTAGGTATCCTCTTGTCCAAGTATGAAGACTAGACTATTAGGGGCTTCTGTGACTTAGATTGGGCCTCATGTCCAGATACAAGAAGATCTGTAAGCGGGTATATTATTTTGTTGGGAAACAGTCCACTTAGCTGAAAGTTCAAGAAATGGGAAGTTGTTTCCTTATCTTCTACAAAGGCAGAGTACATATCACTTAGAAAACTGGTTGGTGAGCTAGTGTGGTTGAGCAGACTTTTAGCTGAACTGAAAGTTCCATCTATACATCCCATTCCAGTATTCTGCGATAGCTTGTCAGCCCTGCACATAGCAAGAAATCCTGTATTCCACGAACGCACCAAACATATCGAGGTTGACTGTCCCTTTGTGAGGAAACAGTTGCAAGAGGGCCTCATCTCATTGCATCACATAACGACTGATCAACAACTTGCAGATATTCTTACCAAGGCTTTAACATGCATCAAACATTTAGGTGTATTGGCCAAGTTGGCAGTGTTTTCACCACCTCCAACTTGAGGGAGGGTATTGAGATATTTATCAGATTATTTTCAAGTGGTTAGTTGGAGTTAGTTAGTAGTTAGAGTTAGTTAATTCTTTGTTAGTGGTTAGTCTCTGCCAGCTGTGCATATGCACATGTATATATACCCTGTGAAGTATCAGTAGAGAGTTTGGAGCTTCTCTTCATAATTCTCTCCACTTATCTTCTTCTTCATTCTTCCATACAGTTCTAGAAGCTTCCTCATATGCCATGGCAGACATGGCTGAGCTCTAATGCTCTGCTTTCAGCTCCAATCTTCATAGTTACCAATATAAATCACTAAAATTGTAATACATAATATATATGATCCCATAACTTTAAAAATGTAATAGGTTCAATGCCAAAAATCTTGAAGGTTGAACCCATAAAACTTAGGGGTATTATCACTTTTAGTCCATGCCAAAAACTATTTACATCTGCTAGCCAAAAATATGTATATAATTTGTATGATTTTTGTATATAACATACAAAATATATATATATATATATATATATATATATATATATATACAAAAAATATACAAATTTTATATAATTTTTCTGCTATTATTTTTACAACGGCTATATAGTGTTATTTTTCTAAGGGGTAAATCCTGGATCTGCCTCTGATTTTAACGTAAATATTTTTCAGCATGCCACACCCTCACCCACAATTCCTCCAAAAAGATTAAGGAAAATTTTCATAAAGCACTATCTTCTAGTAATAATTAGTCATTTATCGATATCATTTGTTATATTACGAATTATTGATACCTTTTATGTGGTTATAAGATGTATTTGATGTATTTAAGCTATTGTATTCATGAATACAATAGCCAAAATAGGCATGAATCAGGAAGTTCAGCTAATCAGTTGTTGTATTTGAGTGTATTCGACTGTATTCATGGAGTGAAACATGGGATTGCAGCTGGACAGATTATTGTATTCGATTGTATTCACGGCGTGAAATAGGGGATTACACTATTTTTAAAAGGGAAAGTGAATCAATTAACATAATAGACTCCTAATATAACTCAACAAACTCAATTATAAAACACAAATTTTGTATTTTCAGTTATAAAAAAGATTCTTAACCGAAAAATACCCCACAAATATAGCAATCTTCAGAGAAATTATATAATACATCTGAATACATAAATTATATTAATTAAAAAAATATATGAATATATTCATAGCATATAGCGAGATAGTGAATACAATGAAATACATAGAATACAACGGGATACATTGAAATATAATGAAAAAAAAGATAGTGAATACAATGAAATACATGGAATATAACGAGATACATTGAATTACAATGAAAAAAAAGATAATGAAATACATGAAAATACATCAGCAAGAACAACATTAGAATCAGGAAAACGACAGTGACAAGCCTTGACATATATTAACATGAAAAGAAGACTCATCAGCAAGAACAACATTAGAAGCAGAGACCAAAAGCTCATCGTGTTAAAACCCAACAAAGACTCTCCATAACTTTAGTTCGTCAAGCCCGTTGTTTATTATGCTTAAAATGGACTTAAATTCTTTTTAATTACGGCAATCTTCTCCAGCCAAGTCCCACAACAATTTCCCCTTTGCTGCAAACTTCCTCCTCTCCCCTTCTCCTGCGATATCGAGTTGTAAGCGGTAATTTTTGGATCAGAAAGTGTTTGATTTTGGATCCGAAAAGTGAAAACGTACTGTAGGAATATGTCGTTACAGTCGTCAGATGCGGGAGCCGGAGCAATTTCTGAAGTGGGCTTTGCACAAATCCGATGGAAGGAGGAGGAGATCGAAAATTTTAATGGGATGGGGGAAGAGAATGAGATGTATCAAAGTAGAGAGAGAAAGAAAATAGTGTAACTGATTAGCGCATTTAGTAGCTTAGGGCTAGAAGGTAACTAAAATTAAATATTTTGCTATAAACCTTAAAAGGTATCTATAGAATATAATATTTTTAAATGGTATTTATTTAAAATAAATAAGGTGTTAACCTTTGCTATAGGAGGTAAAAATTCCAAAGATTAGCTAGAGTTTTAAATGCAAATTTAATTCTGGGTTGACAAGGTGATTATATATCTTTGTAACCAATTAGATCAGACAAAAATAATGCAAGCACTGCATTAGCATTTTACTTAATTATAGGGGTGGCAAAATAGTCAAAATAAAATAGTTAACTGCCCATATTATCCATCAAAAAATGGGTTGGATAATAAACTTTTTAAAAATAGGTCAAATATGGATAAGAATCATATTATCCATAAAAAAATGAATAACGAATGGGTAACTAATAAACCAATGATTCTAACTTTTATATTTGTAAAGCCTCAAATTGGGAATGCATCAAGTTAGACAGACTAAGAATTCTCTCAAAAGTGATCATATGCTAGAAGTCATGGATAATATAGTTACTCATATTATCCGCCGGTTAACTCTTTTTTTATCCGTATTAAATATGGATCGGGTCGGATAATTTATCTATTTTTTATTACACGTTTTCAACCTGAACTATATCCGTGAAAGAATTTTATGGAGAAGGCGGTAGAAATTTTTTTGTGTATTTTATTCAATTGTTGTACAACTATTTATATAGATAAAAGGTATCAAAATTTATTATGCTATAGTACATGTGTATTCTTTCTATTAGTCTATCCCTAACTAATTATATAACTGTGCAAGAATAAAAAAAAATCTCTGCACTAACACGTGCTCACATGCACAAAAATGAGAATCCTAAGTTTGCAGCTATGTTGAATCAACGGTATTGATTAAATGATTCCATATGAGATGAACGATTGTGATTAAAACTTTTGCTCTGATTTGGACGACTGAGATATGTTAAATTGTGAGAGAATAAAAGACTTTGGTTGTCATCTTCATTTGGACCAAACCCTAAATCCTTTCTCTCATCTGAAATCTTTTCCTCATTTTCTTCTGTATCTAAGATTGCCATGGTGGATGTTGAATAATCAACTCCAACACCCCCCCCCCCATCAAGTTGGAGGGGGTATGAACCACTCCCAACTTGCCAATAATGGAGTTGTGAGTGGGTCCAGCCAAGGACTTAGTGAAAATGTCCGCTAATTGAGATTTGGACGGAACGTAAGAGAGTGAAATGATTCCGGCCAAAAATTATTACCGGACAAAGTGACAATCCAATTCCACGTGCTTGGTACGCTCGTAAAAGACTGGATTTTTGGCGATGTGGATAGCCGCTTGACTATCGAAGAAGAGATTAATGGGCAAGGAAGGGGAAACAGATAGGTCATTTAATAAGCGTACCAACTAGGTAATTTCAGCCGTGACTCTTCTCATTGAGTGATACTCTGCTTCAACAGAGGAAAGAGAGATTGAAAATTGTTTCTTTGATCTCCAGGAAACAGGAGTTCCTCCCAAGCTGATGAAAAATCCACTAATGGATTTCCGAGATTGAGGACAAGATCCCCAATCGAAATCACAGAAATCCAGCAGCTCGTAATCATATCTTGAATTCAGAAATAAGCCCAAACCAGGATCTTTGAGAAGGTATTTGAAACAGTGATAGGCAACATCTAGGTGAGGCTGGCGAGGCGTTTGCATGACCTGGCTGAGGTGTTGCACAGCAAAGGAGAGATCCGGTCGAGTATGGGTGAGAAAATTTAATTTCCCCAATAGTCGGCGATAAAAGGTGGGATCTTGAAGCAAAGTGCCTTGTTCTGAGTGAAGCTTCTGAGTGGGATCCAAAAGAGAAGAAGTTGGTCTCATTTGCATGCAGTCAAACTCAGATAAGAGATCCAAGGTATAACGTTTTTGAGTCAAAATGATTCCTTGTTTTTCTCTGATGATTTCAAAACCCAAAAAATAATGTGCTTCCCCTAGATCCTTGATTTTGAACTCAGAATCAAGAAAAAATTTAAGTTATGTCTGCTCATTAGGGTCATTCCCTATGATTAGAATGTCATCAACGTAGACAGCAACTATAGTAGTTTTCCTTGCTGATTTCTTCAAAAATAAAAAGTAATCATTTAAAGAATGTGAGTACCCTTTGAAATTCAGAGTTGCGATGAGCCTTGCATACCATTGTCGTGAGGCTTGTCGCAACCCATATAGAGATTTTTTCAAAAGGCAAACATGATTAGGTGAAGGTGGTGATGTTCCTGCTGAAAATTTCATGTATACCTCTTTCTGCAAATCTCCATGCAGGAAGGCATTGTTTACATCCGATTGTGATACTTGCCATCCTTTCTTTACTGCAATAGCAAGAAGACATCTGATTGTTGTCATCTTGACAACTGGAGAAAAGGTCTCAGTGAAGTCTATACCTTCTCTTTGTGTGTCTCCCCTAATAACCAAGTGAGCCTTGAACCTTTCCAAAGAACCATTGATTTGTACTTCATTCTATAGACTCACTTGCAGGGAAGGGCTTTCTTCCCAATAGGTAAAGGGACTACTTCCCAAGTCTTGTTCAAAGCAAGAGCTTCCAATTCCTTAGCCACGGCCTATTGTCATCCTGGATGCAACATGGCCTATGAATAGGATGTAGGTTCTATGAGGTAAGAAGTGGATTTAATTAGAGATTGGTTGACAAATGAAAGGGTTGTAAAGGGTAGCACATTAGGTTGAATTGGTTCCATGAAACAGGAGTTAGTTAGATCCGCTAGGAATACTGAATTGCAAACATAGTCTTGTAGGTATGCTGGTGTGTTATGTGTTCTAGTGGACTTCCTAATTTCTGTTAGAGTTATGGATAAAGGGCAATGGGAAGTGGATCTTGAGTAAGTAGTATAGGGTGATTGAGGTGTGATAGGTATGCTGTGGTGGATGTATTGGGATAGTGATTGGGAAAGTTCCATGGATGTAGCAGGAATTTGGTGAATGTGGTCTGAAAGAGGATCATATTCTATGGTTGATGGAATAGGAAAGATGGATGAATCCTGGAGTTAGGTTGGTAGGGTCAAAATGGTATTTATTTTAATAAAATTGAACATCCCTGGAGACTGTTACTCTTTTTGTATTCAAATCCAGAACCTTATACACTTTTTGGCCCAAAGGGTATCCCAGAAACACACAAGGCTTACCCTGAGATCAAATTTTCCTCTCCCAGCAGACAGAGTAGATACATAGCAACGACAACCAAAAATTTGAATGAATCATAGGATGGTTGTTGTTTAAACAACACAAAGTAAGGTGATCTACCTTTGAGAACCTTAGAAGGTAGCCTATTGATCAGATAAGTAGCAGTCGACACACATTCTCCCCAATAGATTAGAGGAAGTTTAGATTGAAATAGCAAATCTCTTGCAATTTTCAAAAGATGTCTATGCTTCCTCTCAACCACCCCAGTCTATTGAGGTGTGCCCACACATGGTGTTTGGTGCAGTATTCCTTGTGAAGCAAAAAAGGCTGCTTCTTGAGAACCTTTGCCTAGTTCAAAATGTTCTCAACTTCTACACCTTCATCCAAAATTGTCTTTCCACCATTGTAAAAAAAATCAGTATACCAAAAGGGTACTAATGAGAAAAGTCCAAGCTCATCTACTGTAGTCATCCACAATAGTTAAGAAATGTTTGAAACCATTATAAGTGGTTACTTTGTAGGGTTCCCAAACATCAACATGAATTAACTCAAAAGGCCTTTTTGTTTTAATTTGACTTAGAGTACAAGGAATTCTGGTTTGCCTAGCCTTAGGACAGATATCACAGAAACATTGAGATTTAGAGGGTAAAGAAATAAAATTGAGATGCTTCATTGATGAAAAAGGCAAATGCCCCAATCTAACATGTCAAAGGCTTACATCTGAAACTACATTTGCTGAGAAAGGAAAAGAAACTGATAATTCACTAAAGACATTTTGATTTGAGGAAAGAGTTGGCTCTACTTCTATTCTATTTCTAACTTGACTTGGCTCCAAAAGATAAAGACCTTCCCTAGCTTCACCAAAAACGTGTGCCCTCTTCACTAAGGGGCCTGCAGGGAACAATAGGAAGAAGTGAAAAAGAGGATTGACTGAAATTGCAAACAAAACTGTTAACAAATAATAAGTTGTATCTGAAACTAGGCACATGTAATACATTTTTCAAGATGTAATCAGGTAGAATAGCAATCCTTCCTATGTGAGTGACTGTGACTTTGAATGAATTAGGTAAGTTTATATTCAAGGGAACTGATAAAGCTGTTAAAAAAATAAAGGCATTTGAGTCAAAACACATGTGTTTAGAGGCCCCAGAGTCAATAATCCATGTACTAGAATTAAAAACTAAAAAAAAGTTCCTGAATATCTTGTAATAGTACCAGCAATAGTATTGGCATTGATTTCTGCTCATGAATTTCCTGTGTCTGCAACTTTGACTTGTTTGATCAGTTGTATCAGCTGAGAAAACTGATCTTGTGATAGGTGTTGATTGATCATTTCAGTCTAATTAGTATTGTTATGTTCTGTTTGTTCCATTTGAAATGCTCCATTTCCCATGATTTGCATTTGATTTCCCTTTGTGAACTCAAAGTCTTCTGGAAATCCAATTATTCTATAACAATCATTCATAGTGTGTTCTACCTTTTTACAATATCTACAGGAAACATTAGGATTAAACTTGCTTTCCTTTCCTTTGAAAGTTGAATTCCTCTTAACAAAACTATTGGTTCCCTTTTGCATGTTGTTTCCAAATTTTGGATATTGAGTACTTCCTTTTTAGGTCTGCCTTCCTCCTCTTTGGGCAAAGTTGTTTTGATTTGTGACCATAAAAGCTGAGGAATCAGGACAAATGAGTGGATTGGCAAAGATTTCTCTCTGGCTTTCATCTTGTAGCACAAGAGAGCATGCATGATTTATGTTTGGTAAAATATTCATCATGAGAATGTTTCCCCCTTGCTTGTCCATAACTGCCATTCAAACCCATAAGAAATTGAATGAGTCTCTCATCTTCTAATGATTTTTCTAGTCTTTGTTTCCCTTCACACACACAAACAACTGCATTTCACATCACAATTTAGTGAATCCAACTCATCCTATAATCATTTGAGTTTTGTGAAATAGCTTGCTATGTCATTTGTCCCTTGGACTAATCCTGACAATTCCTTTCTTAGGTGATAAAGATTAGCTCCATTTGACTGACCAAATCTATGTTCTAAACTGGTCCATAGGTCCTTAGCAGATTTTGAGTATATGACATTATCCCCTATGTCCTTGGATAGTGAGTTGAATAGCCAAGATGTGACCATGTCATTGTATATACTCTAGGGCTGGAAGTCCTTTGAATCAGCAGCTGGAACAGGGCAAGCACCATTAATGAAGCCTATTTTGTTCTTGGTTGAGAGGGCTATAAGCACTGACCTTTTCCATCCTTGAAATCCTCTACCATCAAAGGCAGAATTGACAAACGTCATTCCTGGTGCAGCAGAGGAATGAAGGAAGCAAGCATGATTGGAGTCAATGATGGATACTGCACCAGTAGTGGCTTGAGTGGTTGTTGCTTCAGTGTTATCAGGCATGATTCAAGAGTTTCACAGAGTAAGCAAAGAAGGAGATGAGGGATCGAGCTTCTATTGCTCTGATACCATGAAAGAATTCAATGGAGAAGGCAGTAAAAAAATTTCTGTGTATTTTATTCAATTGTTGTACAGCTATTTATATAGATAAAAGGAATCAAAATTTGTTATGCTACTGTACGGGTGTATTCTTTCTATTAGTCTAGTCTAACTAATTATATAATTGTGCAAGAATATAAAAAAACAAATTTTCTGTACTGACACATGCTCACACGCACAAAAATGAGAATCGTTGAATCAACGGTGTTGATTAAATGATTCCATATGAGATGAACGCTTGTGATTAGAACTTTTGCTCTGATTTGGACAACTGAGATCTGTTAAATTGTGAGAGAATAAAAGACTTTGGTTGTTCCGACCAAAGTCATCTTCATTAGGACCAAACTCTAAATCCTTTCTCTCATCTGAAATCTTTTCCTCATTTTCTTCTGTATCTAAGATTGCCATAGTGGATGTTGAATAATCAGCTCCAACAATTCGATCCGCCCCGTCCATTTGCCACTCCTACTCAAGTAGAACGGTTCTTGCACCATGATCTTTAGTTGAGCTGGGTATAAAGCAAACGAATTAAGTCCATTCCTGGCATTATGAAGATCTTTTGTTGCAGTATATGATTGCAAGGAACCACGTTGGATGGATGGAACTGAAGTGACTAAAGTTTTATCGTTTATTAGGCTCTAGACAATAAGTTAATCCTATATGTGCAATTCACCTGTTTAGTGAAAGACAGACTACCAAATGTACGCCTATGATTGCATCTATGTTGATATAAAGACAATGAGAAGGCTATTTCATCCTATTTGTCCACACTTACATAAGCAAATCTCTTTCTTTCATATCTAGCAATCAATCAACCATTCAGTTACCCTCTGAAACTAGGAGTATTAGTTTAGGATTGGCTGAGATACTTTCATGTTCAAGGGGAAAAAATCGACTCTTCAGAATGCTCCTAAACGATTTCTGTTTCCGTGGTGGGCAAAAGAATGAGGATCTTCGAAAGGTGACTTCAGCGAAAAAAAGAAAAAAATTCTACAAAAAGAGAAAGAAGAAACAAAAAAGGGAAGCTCGAGAAATAAAATTAAAAATATTAAGTTTCAAACCAGAGTTTGAATAAGATAATTATCAAAGTAGGCATGAGAAATAAAATTACAAAAGCTATCAGTTGCATACGTAGATTACAGAGTTGCTGTGTGAAATTTGAGCCCACCCCCCGAAGGAGCAGTTTAATGTCAAGCCTCGTCCATCTGCTCCTGCATTAGCCAAAATATACTCATGTTTTAGTTCTATTAAGCAAAAGGACTACGAGTACACAACAAGCCGGAAGCAACTGGCTACTATTCTCAATGGGATTGGATATAGGTAGAAAATCTGTACATTTGAATTGCAGTGTGAATGGAATTTATCGAAGTCCATTAGCTGGGATTTAGTTATGCATCGAAATACTTGTATCATGCTTTAATGTTTGCATGGTGTAATCATATTTAGAGAAGAACAGGAAGAAAAAAAAGCATCCGTATGCTAATTATCTAATTCAATGAACTTTTTTAATTAGGAAAAATGACGTACCTGCATATCGGAAGTCCAGAGAGTGAGATTGTCCCTCAATAACTGCATGATAAGGGTGCTATCTTTATAGGATTCCTCCCCCAAAGTGTCCAGTTCGGCAATAGCTTCCTCAAAGGCCTGCAACATAGCGAAAGGAAATTCAAGAATCAGCTCAATTATACACCTAAGATCAAACTTGATTCATTAAAAACTAAAAATGAATCAAGTGAATATGCGGGGAATTCATTGTTGATGTAGTACTCTTTGGCATAATCACATGGTCAAAGATCTATGCATTTAACTAACAAGAATATGAGAAGTGAAATAATTCTTACAACGTTGCACAGCAACTACTCACACAAACACCATAGAGAAGTCCTCTCAATTCACCACCTAGAACACCTAATTAATAAGCATAACACATCGACCTTTCATTTCAGGATGACAGAGCATGCTATGTTTCCTTTTAACAATTTAATCTCAAAACATGTCCAGCACAATAGTCCTAGGACTAAGAAGCTGTAATTTCTCTTCCTTTATCATGCTAAAAGTCATGCTAATAGCTTGAAACTTCATCTAAGATGTACCATTATTCTGTTCCACCACAGAACTAAAACGAGGTTGTATCACTCTCATTGTGAAATCTTCGCAGCAACCCCAGATTGCAATAGTGTACGGAATTCCAGCATATTGGGATTTTTATAAATTTGCTACACTTTAACCTGAATGAGCCTAGCTTCAAATAGTACTCTATACAACACTACCAAAATCTCCACATGCTTATTTCTGCATATAAAAGCAGATACAAGTGGATCTTTGATATTTTAGCAAGAAACTTCCTAGGATTAGCAAGAAGTGCAACCTAGCTACAAAAATGCAGCCGAGTTGTTCCTTATAACCAATATTTACACAATTATATCAAGCGGCTTAACTATTCTACTGATTTCCATAATCAAAATGCAGTTACTACTTTTCTTTTACGTCAGCTCTGATTTTCGTGATTCTTTCCCCTGAAAAACGATGGCAGGATTATATATTTAATAATTTTCATCACATGCTGTCTCCTAAGTTCTAACTCTAACTCCTATTATTACTACTCAATGACATGTTAAATACTTAAATATCCAAATACTAGGGACCAAACAGTGGAAACCCAACTGCGAGAAGCCTAGATTCTCCACAAGCAAAAACAGCAACATAATGGAGATCTAATGCACAAATACACCGATTTGAATACCAATCAGCTCAAGCCTCATGCATATACTGAATCAAACATCAACTTGGCAAGACAACATGAGTTATTTTCTCCCAAGATAATGTTTATTTGCCTCCTGGCTGGCAACAAACTTTTTTTTTGTATCAGAAAAAGTTCCTTCCTCATATACCTTAGTCTCAGACCCACACCAGAAAATAAATGAAAGAAAGAAAAAGTTCTGAACACTATGGCACATCGGAGTGAACGTCATTATCTTCGATGCTTTTACTGATTCTGATATGACTGTGCTATGCTTTTATCCAAGACTCTGAAGGAGCATTATCAAAATATCAACGATAAAAATAAAGTGCATGCATCTTACACTCATAAAACGCCAGGTATATAGGTGGCAGGGCTAAAAGTTATACTGAAGGACACATTGTCATTACATTCCTGGTGGAGGAAAAAGTAGATAACTACACAATAGGGGGAAGAGAAACCAACTAACCTGTTTAGCCATGCTGCATGCTTTTTCTGATGCATTCAGAATCTCATAGTAGAATACTGAATAGTTGAGAGCTAGCCCAAGTCGTATAGGATGTGTTGGGGCAAGCTCAGCAAGGGCGATGTCCTGTAGCACAATCACAAGAAATGCATAAATAAGTAACACAACAGTCAACCAGCTTTCACTTTATGCAGGTGAAAGCATCTCCGGAACTGATAATAACAAAAACAAGAAATTCAGCATTATTATCAGTTCATAAATGTGGGAGTAAAAAATGCATGAATGAAGTGATATGAATATAAGGTGAGAGCAGCAGAATATAAGCTGAGCCAGACACATGAACTGGTATGACTAAAATATAAATTGCATGAGACGTTGCAGAGCTCCATTCCTGGATATGAATGGGAAGATTTGACTTATGCCACATATTTACATCTAGAAAAGATTTCAAAGCAGTATCATTAGATGATTACACTTTAAGCTCCATGATCTCGTTCCCTAATCAAAGTTACACCCGTTTACTGGCTTATAATCCAATAATAAAGGTGATTTGCCATGAAAAAAGAGAGGCTAAAAGCCTAAAAGTGCTAATGGTTTTTTCTTTAAATGGCAAGAGATGTCTAAGAACAAATTGTGCCTTGAAATAACAAGCAAAAGAGTCGGTGCTGGAAAAATGTTCTAAAAATCTACCACGAAGTCAGTGCTTAGAGATAATCAAGTTTTTTCAAGTGATGACTTCATTAAGATCAGGACATTTGTAATACAGTCCAAACGTTGAAGGAAAATTGGATTATCTTGGTGTAATAGCAGAACAAGCTATTATCACATCTCTATTTCAAGGATATAGCGGGGACTTGAGGTTCCCTCCCCTCTAGTTATGCCAAAAGCATCCAATTTTCAGGTATAGTTAAGTCTAATCAGCTGGTAGATCTTTTAAAAGTTCAACTATTACACAATTAATGCCTTCCCCAGCATTTTAATATTCGAAAACAGCATAAAACTACCAAGATATGGAGATCCACATTAACAAGGTCAAAATCAAACCGCTTAAAATTCCAATCTTCAAGCTACTCACATGCTCCAATTTCCATCATTATTCAGAATACTTGAAGTTCGAAAAAAAAAAGTAATTTCCATTTACTAATACACGAAGGACGGAAGAATTAAATAATTAACAATTCCAGAATTAAAGTAGATTCAAAATTGAAATAAATTTAAAAAATAAAGAGTATAAGCTCTGTGAACTGACATTTAAACAATATGTACACGATCAGGTAAGTATTGTAATTACAGGTAACCTACTATATCATGTTAAATTTTACAGACAGTGTAAGAAAATTCTGTGCACTCAGGTTATTGCCTAACTTAAATTTAATAATAAAATATACCTGAGCAGCTTTGTAGGCAAGCATAGTATCCTCAGCAGCTTCCTTACGTTCATTACCAACTTTAAATTCAGCCAAATAACGATAATAATCTCCCTTCATCTTCAAGTAAAACACCTTCGACTCACCAGCAGAAGCTGAAGGAATCAAATACTGATCCAAAATCTTCAAAATTCCAGCACAAACATCACTAAGCTCAGATTCAACCTTAGATCTATAATCCTTCACTAAAACCACGTGTTCGTCGTTCTTCCTCCCTTCTTCCTTTTGCTCAATTGACGATACTATCCTCCACGCGGCTCGAAGTGAACCGATTACGTTCTTATACGCTACCGAGAGGAGATTTCGCTCCTCTACAGTTAGTTCAGAGGAACCCGAGACGGCTACGAGGCGGTCCATGAATTTTACCATCTCCTCGTAACGCTCGGCTTGCTCGGCGAGCTTTGCTAAGTATAGGCACTGCTCTCTGGTTAAATTTTCCGGTACGGCCATCGTCGGAGATTCGCCGGAGATTTTTTTATTTTTTTCTCTTGGTGCTTTTAGAGAGAGGTTTTTTTTTTTTTTTGTTTCGTTTATGAGATTTTTTGAATGTTTCGAAGAGGTTGAGAGAGAGAGGATTTTTATATTGGGAGGGAAGTGTAGTGTAACTTGGTATTGGTATCTTTTGTTTAACGCCCACTTGCGTGTGTAAGTTCAAATACCGTACTCGCCTCAGTTATGAGAGGGGAGGAAATGACTACTAATAAAATACGAGGGGGAGTTTGATTTTTAAGTCAAACTTGAGGGATGTAAATAATTTTTTGAGATTTTTTAAAAGGACTCGTAGTTTGCAGTTAAAATGTAACTTATATGGTTTTAAAAATGAAGTGCTAATTCTCCTAATCTTCAATTTTCCCCCTTGATCCACCATTAGAAACCATCCTTGCCGCCTTCCGACGAATTCTCCATTATCGTCGGCGGAGCTTCATTGCCAGGTTTCATGATCTCTGTCGTCTTCTTCTTCTTCAATAAAGGTATAAAACTCAAAAATTATCTATAATATATTAAAAGCACAAAGGCCCTTAGCAAAATATCGTTCGCCTTTTTTACCCTTTAAAAATAAATTTTATATTGGACAAAATAGTAATTCAAATTATTTTTCTAATATTTAGGACTTAGTTTCCGATTTAAATTATGAATGAAGTCCTAATATTTAGGAGTTCAAAATCAATTAAGATTTTACCTTATTTAAATTATTTATATAACTGTAATCATTTCATATTAAATTCTTAAAATATAGGATTTTAACATCAACTAAAATTCTATTAATTAAACACTTTAATAAACTCACCCAATACATGCACGCTCAATTGGTAAGAAATGTAGGGGAACATGGAAACTATCTGGGATAATTTATTTTTTGTGTTACTTTAAAACTAATTTAAATTTAAATTACCTTATATGAATTATTTCTTTATATTAGTATCCTTGACATAATTGTCATTTTTTCTTGTTAGTTACTATTATAATAGAAATAATAATTAAGTCTATGAATTAATTATTAGAAAAAATAATATAATCCAACAATTTTCAAATATATTAAAAATATGAACGCCCTTGCTGAAATGTAGTTCGTCTTTTTTAACTTTCAAAAATAAGTTTCACATTTGACAAATATGTAATTTAAGTTACTTTCCTAATAGTTAGGACTTTAAAATCAAGTAAAATTTTAAATATTACCTAATATTTAGAAGTTCGAAATCAACTAAATAAGGATAAAATTATATTAAAAAAGAAGAGAATATAAAAAAGTAAAGTTTCTTTTCAACCAAGTACAAAAAATATTTTATAATTTTCATATAAATATTTTGTACCTATATCGTACAAGGAAAATTTTAGCGTGCAAGATCAATTGTGATCCTTTATTTTCCTTTTCATACGAAAATATTTTCTTGGTTGTTTAAATTATATTTTCTTAAATTATGTCACAACTAATTATTTTATGTGTTAATTTTCCTAATATTTACTTATTTAAGATTTTAAAAGCAATTTTATTTATCGAATATATATTATTTGAATCAGAAATTTTAATGTATAAAATTAAGAAACAATTAAAATTTTAACCACCTTTTACAAATGATTTCCTTAAGAAAATACTTAAATTATTTTGATATAAATTGCTATTTTTCAGTAACTTTTTCTTCTTACATATAAATATATTTATTGATTGAAGCAACATACACGTGCAACGCACGTACACTAAAACTAGTATACACAAAATGAAACTTGGAGAAATCACAAATACACACGGAGAGAGACACATATGTACACACTTAATTATACGCATAATATTGAAATAATAAACATAAAAGAGTGGCAGAGTTTTTCACAAATTCATAACAAGATTATTCTACTTATAATGCTAATGAACTTAAACTAAATTTAATAACAAAATATAACATTATTAGGTAATATAACTACATTAAGAAAATATAGAAAATTAAAAAGTACTCCCTTTGTTCACTTTTACTTGGTACGTTTTGACTTTTCACGCCCCTTAAAAAATAATAAATGATATGCATAATTTACCATGATACCCATATTAATTGATACACATTTTATTGGATTTGAGAAAAATAATTTGAAATGAGTAATAAATACTGTGGGCACAATAGGAAAAAGAAATTGTCTTCTCTTGATATGCGTAAAGTGACAAGTAAAAATAAAAATCTATTTTTAGTATACATGTCAAGTAAAAAGTGATCAGAATGAGTATTACATAGAAGCAAAATTTAAGATGTCAATGGCGAAATAGACATATAACATAGTATAAGTGGTAAAATGACGATTGATCAAAGTTAGAGGGGGGAATTTATCTTTAAAGCAAATTTGAGTATTACTTTGTTGTCTCCTGCGCATTTTGGGCGACATATTTTCTTTTACTCTATTTTGTTTAAAAAAATATCCATCTTAGAAAAAAATTATATTTAAAAAATAATTTAACTTTAAAATTCTATATTCAATGAATAATTTATATTCACACAAATATCTAATCTCTTCAAATTACAAGTTTCAAAAGTTATCTTTTCTTATATTTAGTGTCTGATCAAAATCGTGCAATATAATTCATCTTTTGATGCAGTATATCCTCTATTTAGACGTGATTCTTCAAAATCCATATTCTATACATAACATAATACTTATTATCCTTTCTCTCTTATATGTAAATTCTACATAATCAATAATCATAGATTTAATTGGATGAATCTACCTAGATGCTAGGAGTCAGATAATTTAGTAATCAAAAATTCATACTGATTAATTATATATCAAGTTATATTTCTTATGTTATTAGGAATTGAAAATCGAAAACTACCGAAGGAAAATGAAATGATGTTTATGATAATTAAAGAAAAATAACTTTAAGAAAATTTGACACAATTAAGAAAGGGCAGGGGCGAGTACATGTGCGAGTAAGGGAAAGGCGAGTAGGATGGTGTGTGATTGGTCAATAATTATGGGACTGAGGATAGAGATTACAGGTGAGAAGGATGAGAGTCAGCTTCCACTACAGCCACTCCTCTCCTTTCTCAAAATTCGGCGCTGGCATTTTTTTTAATATTTATAACAAAAATATAAAGATATTTTTAAATTTTTTGTAAAATACATGAACCATCGAATATTTGTAAATGAAGAAAAGACTATTAAGCCGTGAATGTCAACTTCACATTTTCTTTTTGCATTTAGAAATGGCAAATAATTATCACAAAAGTACCAACTAAAGTACACAACTTGCATATATTGAATATAATACTTTTGAAATCTTTACTTAATAAATAACTACATCTGTCATTGTTATCTTGTTTTTGTATAATTCGCCCGATAATAAAATTTGGCTAAAGGTTTAAAGATATCAAATGTTGACACTGGACAAGCAATTATCTGTCGGCAAAGGAAAGCAACGAAAAAGTAGATAAGGACAATGAAAGGGCCGTTGTGCCATAACGAGGAGCTTTCTTTCCGCTAACATGTGTAATGGAGTCCATTCCTGAAATTAGTACGGTTTCACCATCATAGCAATAGGAGAGTGTCATTACAAAGGTACTTACCTCCATGCGAAAGAAAATTGAGATATCGACGGAAATAATTGATAGACATGAGAAGAATGGGCAACAGAATAGTGCTCTAGAGTCATCATGCACCTAGAAGATTGTAGGGAACATAGAAATATTAGTTCCTAAAGTTGAAACTACCAAGTATACTATTTCTGATAGTTCAGACGATCCTTAAAGGTTTTTGATAAAATATTTACCACATTACGAGCTAAAGAATATTTCATGGAGTGGTCTATGAGACAAACAACTTACAGACCGGAGAACATGTCGAATACATGAATTGATAATGTACTCTTAGGGATGCTAGCAGGAGCAGCACAAATAATTCGCAAATGATTTCACTAAAGTATTTATGAATCACTTCCTTGTTGATAATTTCTAATATAAACTTGCTTGCAAGAAAGTTTAAGAAATTGATTTAGACGATGCATGCACTGATATATAGCACTTAACTTTCACAACTGAATAGATAAGCAACATATTAAGTTTAGAGGCTTGCTGAAAGATTAGTTAACCATTTAAACAAGGTAGTAACTATACATACAAAAAACTTTAACATATTCTGTGGCAGTTGCACTTACCAGAAAGATTGAAAATATGAACACGATAGGCGTGCAACCAAGAATTCACGTAAGAGAACCGAGGTTAGGAATCCTTCAGTATGTATTTTAATATGGGTCGAAGATTTAAAAATTAAGGATATTTTGAAATATTGAGCGAGCCTTTTTGGGTTGCCACTTTTGTGAAAATCTACGGTAGTTAAACGTGTGTATAAAAGCTTGTTACATTTGAATTAGAGAAGGAATATCCTAGTTAACCAAATTGTACTTGATATGGTATGCTTTGATGTGCCGATGAGTGTGGATTATCTATCTTATTGCCACACTACCTTTGGTTTTCATGTAAAGGTAGATTGATTGAGATACCCAATAAAATCAGTTTTGTATTAAAAAGGATCATTCACTAGTAATGGACAAAGTTATATTATTTGTCAATATTTAATAATTATTTAACAAAGGTGGTAGGGGTCTCATAACTATGGTCAATACAAGAGATGAGACACTTTGTTTGGAAAAGGTACCAGTAGTGAGAGAATTTTCATGAGGATTATTAGGACTACCTTCAGTAAGAGAAATAGACGTGGAATTTGATTTGACACATGACACGCAAACTGTATTATATGGCACCAACGGAGTTGAGAGAGTTAAATGAACAATTGCAAGACTTATTGGATAAGAGTTTTATTATACCAAGTATTTCACCAACGGGGCACCAATGTTTTTTGAAAGAAAAAAGGAAAAAATAAATCCCTAAGAATGTACATCGACTACAAACAATTGAAAAAGCTAGCGATACATAATATGTACAGATTGTCTCGTATAGATAAGTGGTTTGATCAGTTACAATGAGCCTACCATTTTTAAAAGATTGATCTCCAGTCTAACTATTATCATCTTAAAATGATAAAGGAAGATATTTCGATATCAGTCTCTAGAACTCAGTACATATATTACGAGTTACTTATAATGACTTTTGGACTGGCCAATGCTCCAGCCGCTTTTATAGATATAATGAATATGGTGTTTTAGTTGTTTCTAGAAAAAAATATTAGTTTTTATTTATGATATTTTGGTATATTCTCGTAGTCAGAAAAAAAAATATGAGTACCACTTAGAAATAATAGTTATAGATGCTGCCAGAAAAATTAGCTTTTTGCCAAGTTCTTGAAGTGCGAATTTTGGATAGACTCAGTTCGGGCATATTATAACTAAAGATGTGATTATAGTAAATTCAAAAAAGATGG